TTATTATCACAAATAGTAATCATGGTCATAAGTAAGTAAATCACGAAATTAAATGAGAGAAATCAATTTTGCACTTTGCTGTGCCTTTTTACATTTCCCTGCAGAGGTCAGCTTCCATTGGCTAGATTTTCACCCCACTCAGCCTTATAATTCATTTTGTTTCTTTGGAATACACTATTGGAGACTTAATGGGCTTGCTACAGTAATATAGCTTTCTTAATATGTAAACCTATGCAGTGAAGGATATTTCTTTAAATAATTTTTATTTTTTCAGACAGTATCTCACTCTGTTGCCCAGGCTAGAGTACAGTGGTGTCATCATAGCTCACTGCAACCTCAAACTCCTAGGCTCAAGCCTAGCCTACATTAGCCTCCCAAGTAGCCGGGAGTACAGGCACATGCCACCAAGCCCAGCTAAATTTTTGTATTTTTAGAGATGGGGTCTCGCTATGTTGCTTAGGCTCATCTCAAACTTCTGGCTTCAAGCAGTCTTCCCACCTCAGCCTCCCAAAGTATTAAGATTACAGGCGTAAGCCACTGTTCCCGGCCTAATGATAATTTTTTTTTAATTTCCTTCTAAGTGTACAAATTAAATGATCTAATAAACCATAGCAAATAAATCAGTAATTAAAGCAACACAAAATCAGGCCCCAAATTTAAAAGCTAAGTAATTACTCTCTTGTGAATGTCCACGTAAAGAGATTTAGCTTGGGGATGTCAGAATCTGTAAACCCCAAAAGGTAGGGGGGACAACAGATAGGAAGGGGCACTAGAGGAGCAACCTTCAGGTTCCTCAGTAACCTCACCTCTGCAGGTGTTTGCAGAGTAGTGGGCAGCTTTGTACAAACCAGTCAGTTGTAAAGGACATCTGTATTCCGTTCATTTGCTTTTTTATTGATAAAAATTTATTGGTACTTTTTAGAAGCCAGAATGCTAAGAGCTTTATAACGCTTGGATTAAAGTTCATGCTGAATAAAAGGCACTTAAAACTATGTATAATGATAAGAGTCTCACATTTAAAAGATGCTATATAATAATGGATTGCTACTGACATGCTTATTTTTCTCCTGTGGCAGCAATGATAATTACGTGAATAAGTCAAAGCTACATTTTTTAAAATTGATGATTTTAACATTAAGGCGTGAAGTTGGGTCTTTTTCCAACAGTGGATAAATGCTTAACCACAAAAAAGTTTGCAGTTTAAAGTAAGACACAGTTCAGATAATAGGTAGCAAGGGCCAGAGTGATTTTTAATTGAATCATATTCATTATAAACCCATGTGTCAAATTCTTCAGTTTTGTCGAGATTGATGTAGACTTTGAACAAATAGAAAATTGAATCTGCCATACGAGAACACTTTCTTTTGTGGCTATTAATGGACTTTTGAAGTTTCTTTTGACAGATGGAGATGGACACATGGACCACTTACTACCAGGGTGTGAAGATAAAAACTGCCAGAAAAGTACCATCTACTTAGTGAGATCTGGGACAAAGCAGGTATATCAGCTTGTTTTTTAATGTAAACAGAGTTATTTGCTTGAAAGAAATCTTCAAGGGTTAGAAAAGGTATCTGAAAAATCAGAGAGAAACCCAAAATTAAGTTATTGACGTCCTCATTTTGACATCACAAAATACATTTAAATCTATTTTTTGTTTATTGAGGGGAAAGGTACTATTTTAATCATATCTGGTAAAGAAAGCCCATTCTGGATACTGTTATTAAATAACCTGTTAGCTTTTTATATGGCAAAACACACTATAATAAAGGGTTATATAGAACAACATTTTATCTATTTTCAAAGCTAATGTTGTATTTATTTATGATATCTAAATCTATTTCATTCTCTCATACTGACTTTTTACCTGTAGCTTATGGGTAAGCAATTTAGAATATGATAGTCACAGTGGAGGATTATTATGGACATGATAAGTTATAACAATAGTATTTGAATTAACCAATTTTCTTTTCTTTCTGGAGGGGTAATAAATGATAGAGTAACACTTGGACTTTTATAGCCTTTGTGGGTCGGGAACATCACATTTTATATGAAAACACCAAAGCAAACAAATCCTCAAACAGTCAGCATTCTAATGGCATTTACCTAGTTGGTCTGAGTACGGTGATATGTACAACTAATTGATCACAACCAGTTACAGATTTCTTTATTCCTTCTCCACTCCCCATGCTTCACGTGACTAGCCTTAAAGACAAAAATATTAAGTAAATAAAAGCATATAACTTTCACACTTTTATCTTGAACTTTTTTTAAAGTTTTGAATCACTCTAAACATTAGTTCAAGTAACTCTTCATTATTGAGTCATAAGTAGAAGTAAACCTATGATTTAGTCTATCCCTTCAAGTGACACAGTACTGTAAGAATATTTTCAAATTATACAGACATCTCTCTCTGGGAAGATAAATGTCACAGTTCTTTGGTGACTATTTTGGGAGTCACATTAAGTGAAAAATCTGTTTACTTTTTAGACCTTATTACATTTACCTTAACAGGAATACTTTATCTGATACAGCTTATCCTCATTAATAAACTGTCAGCCTCTTTGGAAATTTCTCATAACTTGGCATTTTGTGGAATTTCCCATCTTCTTCTAAAACTAAACCAGTAGTTTTTTTCAAAATCAAGTGAAACAAACATTTTGATGATTAAGTAATACTTTTTTGCTTGAAGAAAAATTGAAAAATTATTAAAGATGCAGACCGGTTTTTAAAAAAAAAAAAAGAAACTCATTTTCTGTATGTCTTTATCAAGTTTTTTTTTCTTATGGCAAAATATACTTAACAAATGAAATGTTGGAAATACCCTGTTTTTACTACACCTTTTCAAGAAGCCATTTTTAATATGGTCTGGCTTGCAGCTATAAAAATAAGTCACCTGCTTATAAGGAAAAGAAGAGAATCTGTAGGCGTGTTTGGCCTCCTGCCATTTCAAGTCAGCTGTGCCCACTTCTGTTCGGACGTCTTAGGTTATCTGCCAGCGTTTGGACTCTTAGCTAATTGTGGGCACATCTATCATTTTAATGGCATGATGACCACTCTTCAGATTTTTAGTTATTAGAAAGTGAAGATTTGTGCAATGAGAAGAAAAAAGGAAATTCCAAAAGCTCATTTTGAAATGAGCCTATTCTCTCTGTTCTCTTTACTGCAATCAAAACAGAAATAAAGGAATTTACTAAAAATGTAGCTTCTAGCTGTTTTAATGACAAAGCTCATTCTCCTTGGCTAAAAAGTTCTTGTCAGTTCCAGACAAAGCTTGTTGGGCCTGGTGTTGTTTGGAAAGCCTCATGAGCTGCTTGGTTGGAGGATGATGACTGAAGTCATCTTAATGTGTAAGAGGCACAGCAGGGGAACAAGGGAGACTTGGCAATGTTCTAACTTTCTTCCTAAGTTGGTCCTCCTGAAAGGACATCAGTATTAGATGATATTACAGTTTGCTTTAACTAAAGCTTGAAATATTCATTTAAGGCTATATCCCCACTTGACACAAATTTTAAATTGGGTAGTTCAACTACATGAGTATTTATATCAGTTCATTGCTAAAATTTGTGTTACAGGCCAGGCATGGTGGCTCGTGCCTATAATCCCAGCACTTTGGGAGGCCAAGGCAGGAGGATCGCTTGAGGCCAGGAGTTCAAGACCAGCCTAGGCAACCTAGTGAGATCCCATCTCTACAAAAAATTTTAAAAATTAGTCAAGTGTGGTGGTGCACGCCTGTAGTCCCAGCTACTCAGGAGGCTAAGGCAGGAGGATCACTTCAGCATAGAAGTTCGAGGTTGCAATGAGCTATGATCACGCCACTGCACTCCAGCCTCGGTGACAGAGCAAGACCCTGTCTTAAAAAAATATATATGTGTGTGATACTGTGAAGAAACTTTCTAAGGCTTTATATGCCAGTTCGAAGATGACTGCTGATAAACTCTAAGGGAGACTTTTTTTCCCCCGAAGTGTCAGTCACCTATTCATTAAAGTAAATTATAATACTTTACCATATTTTACAGAAAGAGAAGTAAAATAGTGCTTATCTTGAGAACTTTAATTGATCATTTGTTTTGCAAATGGTGAATTTTTTTCTAAAATAAAGTCTAATCTTTTTCTTTTATTCCACAGTGGGTTCCAGTCCTACAGGATTTCAGCAATAAGGGCACACTCTGGGGCTTTGTGCCATTTGTGCATGAGCAACAACCACTTGAAATACCAATTCCAATTACCCTTCATATTGGAGACTACAACATGGATGGCTATCCAGATGCTCTTGCCATACTGAAGAACACATCTGGAAGGTGAGGAAATTAAATCAAGTGAGAAATATTTGTTAAGTATCTTCAGTATGACATTTTGTAACTGAATAGCACCTGAATATATTATAGTCCCTAAATAAGGAACATGATAAACTTGGTTCCTATTTTTTTACATGGTCCCTGAACTTCTCCCAAGTGCTTAGAATACCTGTTCCTAGAGAGATAAGTTCAAGATGGCTGACTATATGCAGAGGAACCAAAATAGCAAGTACATGTTTATACTTGAAATAGATTGTCTAGGAGAGGACACTGGACTTCAACAGAAATGATGGGAAGCACCAAAAGCAAGTAAGGAGAGGGAAGCAAGGCAGCTTACTTAACTGGAATCAGCTGGGAGCCAGGAGAAGCTCCCTGATGCAGGGAAACAGTAAGAGAAATCCCCAGGGCTCCGCAGTCTCTCCATGATGTTTTACAATCTTAGCTATAGAAGAATCCCTCGACCCACATGGGCCTTGAGACTAACATAGGTAGCTGCCTAGAGATTGCAAAGAAATATTGCCCCAGAGAGGGACCTCATGCGGAGTGCCACAGGCATCCAAGCCCAGGGCAAGTGTAGCTTGGTGCCATTCTGAGATCCTAGCCTCCAGAGGTCTGTGTCCTTCCCTGAAGCTGGGCTGAAGCTGCCACTGCTGCCTCCAGGGCAAGGAGCAAGGGGTGGGGGGCAGAGGGAGGTGGGGAGTCTGACACTGCCATGAACCCTGAGGACAAATCCTACCACCGTTGCCACAGGTTACTGTGAGACCAAGGTGTGAGCATACCGCACTCTCTACAGCTACCCATGCTACTCCAGCTGAGAGGGGCCCTGCCCTCCCTGGTGGCAAGCTCTTATCCAATACCGTTTTGAGAGCCTGGCCTACAAAGTTGAGTCTTGCCTTTGGGTTGGGCTGAAGTGGCTGTCACCTCCAGGTCATGGAGAGTGAAGGAAGACTGGTAACTTTCCTGTACTTTGAAGACAAATCCCACCCCTGCTGCTGCTGTAGGCTGTTGTGGGAACAAGGCCCAAGCAAACTGTACACCTCACACCTTCCTGCCTATGCCACTCCAGCTTAGAGGGGACCCCACCCTTCCTAGTGACAGCCCTACAGCACAGCCGCCACTGCCCATACCTGAGCATTCTGCCTGTAGCCTGAGGACCACTCCTGCCTATGACAGCCAGCGCCCGAATGCTCTACCAGGAGAACTGAGGACAAGTCCGCTGGCCCAGTCCCATCCCCCCAGTAATCCAGCATGCCATACAATTGCCTGAAAAGCAGCCAGCCCAGTCCACCTTGACTGGCACCTGATCCTTCCCTCCTGGGTCTGATGTTCGGCCAACCCAACCTGCCAATATAACCACAGCTAGCACCTACCTACGTGTGCCACCAGTAGGCCAGAGGAGTGGCTACCCCAACCTATTGCAGTTACCGCCAACACCAACATGGACCATTTGGGTTCTGGTGGGTTGCTCTGCCACTATTACTGCCATCACGCACATCACACCAGCTACCCAGGGACTCAGGAATGTGCCCACATATACAGCCTACCATTGCCACTACCCACATTGGAGCAAGCCTCTTCAAGGCTCAAGAATTGGCCTTCCTGGACCCACTAAAACCAGTAACAGCATAAGCTGTTCGGGGGGCCAAGAACAGGAATGCTCAGCCCACCAATGGGGCCAAAGTCTGGCCCACCTGGCATCCTAGTCCCCGGCAAAACTTTACCACAACCTCCACTAATAACTGCACCTAAGCCACTGAGGTAATCATAGATACAACTGACACTGCATATAGCAAAAGAAGTCACATGGAAATCACACTACTGCAGGTACCCAAAATCAAAGCCAAAGCATCCTACCCAACCAATGGCATATATACATCTTCAGGAAGAAGTTCTCCCCTATGAAAGCAATTCCAAAAAATTGGAAGAAACAACTATTACATCAGATGTATAGGTAGATAGCCAATGTAAGGACACAGAAAACATGAAAAAGCAAGTAAATATGATGCCACCAAAGGTGGTGCAACAGATTGTAATTAAAAGGAAATTCATGAAATCCCAGATGAAAAATTCGAAATACTGCTTTAGAAGAATCTCACTGAGATACAAGAGAAATCAGAAAAACAGTTCAGTGTATGACTGATAAATTTATCAAACACATATTTTTAGAAAGCGCCAATAAAAAATTCTGGAATTGAGGAACTCATTGAATGAAATACAAAATACGTTTGGCATCTTCAACAGTAGACTAGATCCAAAAGAACAAAGAATCTCAGAACCTGCAGACAAGTCTTTTGAAATAATCCAGTCAGACAAAAATTTTTTAAAAAACCAAACTTTAAAGCAACCAAATATTGGAAATATTGGTGTCCTTGGGTGCGAAGAGACAGCAAAAGGATTAGAAAACCTATCTAACAAAATAATATTTGGGGTTTTTTGTTGTTGTTGTTGTTTTTTAATTATAGAGGCGGGGTCTCACTCTTGCTCAGGCTGGTCTCAAACTCCTGACCTCAAGTGATCCTCCCACCTAGGCCTCCCAGAGTGCTAGAATTGCAGGCGTGAGCCACCGTGCTCGGCCACAAAATAATATTAATGGATTAAAACTTCCTAAATCTAGCAGCAGATTTAGACATCCACATAGAGGAGGCTTAGCGATTTCCAAGCAGATAAAATGCAAACACATCTTCTCCACAGCACATTATATTCAATCTGTCTAAACTCAAATAGCAAATCCTAAAAACAACAAGAGAAAAGCACCTAGTCACCTATAAAGGAAATTCCATCAGACTAACAGGGATTTCTCAGCAGAAACTGTATAGGCCAGAAGAGAATGGTGTGATATATTAATAGCGCTGAGGAGGTGGGGGGGGCCAGGGGGGGAAGACCCTTCAGACAAGAATTACTATATCCAGCAAAATTATACTTTAGGTAACAGAGAAATAAAGTCTTTTCCAGAGAAGCAAATTCTGAGGAAATTTGTTACCACTACACAGGCCCTACAAGAAATGGTCAAGGGTGTCCTAAACCTGGAAGCTATAGGATGACATTTATCATCATGAAAACACACAGAACTATAACACTCACTGATAAAGCAATCACATAAAGGAGGAAGAGAAAGGAATCAAATCGTACCACTATGGAAACCCACCAAACCACAATGACAAACAGTAATAGAAAAAGAAAGGAACAAAGAATATATTAAACAACCAGAAAACAGCAAGATGACAAGAACAAAGCCTCACATAGTAATAGTCGTCTTGATTATAAATGGATTAAAATCTTTTAAAAACGTGATCTAAATATATTCTGCTTAGAAGAAACTCACTTTACCAGTAATGACACACACAGACTGAAGTAAAAGGATGGAAGAAGTTATTCCACACAGATGGAAATCAAAAGCAAGTAGGAGTACTTATACTTACATCAGATAAAGAGTTTACATCTGAAACATTAATAAAAAGACAAAGCAGATCATTACATAGTGGTAAAAGGACCAATAAGCAAGAGAATATAACAATTCTCAAAATATATGCACCCAACACTCTTACACCAAGATTCATAAAGCAAATATTACTAGATCTAAACTAGACATAGAATACATCAAAGTTGGGAGATTCCACAGTCAACTCTCAGCATTAGACAGATTATCTAGACAGAAAATCAACCAAGAAATATTGGATTTAAACTATACTTCAGAGCAAATGGACCTAACAGACATTTACAAAACTTTTTTCTTTCTTTTTTTTTTTTTAAGAGATAGGGTCCCATTCTGAAGGCCAGGCTGGAATACAGTGATGCAATCATAGCTCACTATAACCTCAAACTCCTGGGTTCAAACTATCTTCCCAACTCAGCTTCCCAAGTAGCTAATACAGTAGGCATGCACTACCACCACGCCCATTTACAAAACATTCTATCCAATGACTGCAAAATATACATTCTTTTTCCCAGCATATGGAACATTCTTCAGGATAGACAATACATTAGGCCACAAAAAAATTTGCAACACTTTTTAAAAAATTGAAATAATATCAGGTATTTTCTCAGACCACAATGGAATAAAACCAGAAATCAATACCAAGAGAAACTTTGGAAACTCTACAAATATGTGAAAATTAAATAGCATGCTCCTGAATGATCATCAAGTCAAAGGAGAAATTAATATGGAAATCAAACAATGTCTTGAAACAGATGAAAATGGAAAAACAATATCCAAGAACCTGTGGAATACTGCAAAAGCAGTACTAAGGGGAAAGTTTATAGCTATAAGTGCCTACATCAAAAAAACAGATTACAAATTAATAGTCTAACAATGCACCTCAAGAAAATAGAAAAATAAGAACAAACCAAACCCAAAATTAGCAGAAGAGAAATAATAAAGATCAAAGCAGAACTAAATGAAATAGAGAATAAAAAATCAATACAAAGGATCAACAAAATAAAAAGTTGTTTATTTGAATAGATAAGCAAAATTGATAAACCACTAGTTAAACTAACCAAGAAAAGTGAAGATACAGATAAACCAAATCAGAAATGAAGAAGGAGACATCACAACTGATACCACAGAAATACAATAGGTCGTCATCATAAACTATTATGGACAACTATATGCTCACAAACTGAAAATCCTAAAGGTAATATATAAATTCCTGGGAACAAACAACCTGCCAAGATTGAACCAGGAAGAAATAGAAAAGCTGAACAGACTAATTAAGAAGTAGCAGGATTAAATCAGTAATAAAAAGTCTCTGAACAAATAAAATCCCAGGACTGGATGGATTCATAGCTGTATTTTACCAGTCTTACAAAGAAGAACTGATACCACTCCTCCTGAAACTATTCCAAAGGATCAGAAAGGAGGGAATTCTCCCTAACTCATTCTATGTGGCCAGCATCACCCAGATACCAAAACCAGACAAGAATACTGCAAAAAAAGAAAACCACAGACCAATATTTTTGGTGAACATTGATGCAAAAATCCACAACAAAATACTATCCAATCAAAT